TACTAAATATTCCATTGTCAACTATTAGTGGTATTATAACAGAGTGGAAGCAACTGGGAACAACAGCAACTCCGCTACGAAGTGATAGGTCACGTAAAATAACAGAGCGGGATCTGCGCATGCTGAAGTGCACAGTGCACAGAAGTTGCCAACTGTCTGCAGAGTCAATAGCTAAAGACCTGCAAACTTCATGTGTCCTTCAGATTAGCACAACAGTGCGCAGAGAGCTTCATGGAATGGGTTGTCATGGCCGAGCAGCTGCATCCAAGCCTTTACATCACCAAGTGCAATGCAAAGTGGTGTAAAGCACGCCACCACTGGACTCTAGAGCAGTGGAAACATGTTGTTTGGAGTGACCAATCGCGTTTCTGTCTGGGTTTGGCGGTTGCCAGGAGAACGGTACTTGCCTGATTGCATTGTACCAAGTGTAAAGTTTGGTGGAGGGAGATTATGGTTCAGGGTTGTTTTTCAGGTGTTAGGCTTGGCCCCTTAGTTCCAGTGAAGGGAACTCTTCAGGTGTCAGCATGCCAAGACATTTTGGACAATTTCATACTCCCAACTTGATGGGATCAGTTTGGGGATGGTCCCTTCCTGTTCCAACATGACTGCACACCAGTGCACAAAGCAAGGTCCATAAAGACATGGATGAGCGAGTTTGGGGTGGAGGAACTTGATTGTCCTGCACAGAGTCTTGACCTCAACCCGATAGAACACCTTTGGGATGAATTAGAGTGGAGACTGCGAGCCAGGCCTTCTCATCTGACATCAGTGCCTGACCTCACAAATGCTCTTCTGGAAGAATGGTCAAACATTCCCATAGACACACTCCTGAACCTTGTGGACAGCCTTCCCAGAAGAGTTGAAGCTGTTATAGCTGCAAAGGGTGGGCCAACTCAATATTGAACCCTACAGACTGATTGGGATGCCAGAAATGTTCACGTGCGTGCAAAAGGCAAGCCGACCAATACTTTTGGCAATATAGTGTGTGTGTTAATATTTAGCCATGCCTAGTTAAGGCCTTGAAAGTCAGTTGACATCTCTGATATTTAGCTGTGAATAGGACTCCATATGTCACAAAAACTTACTGTATTCTGCTTCACTTGATGAGATTTCAGATGTATCCTTTACAAGAGATTACTCAGTTGTTATTTGTTTTATTTTTTTGGAAGGGGGGCGGGATTTTCATGTGGTGTCAAGTCCTCTGTTTGTTCACCTAAGGGACACATAATGTTTTTCACTCTTCCTTGTTGAATATTACTATCGGAACATATTTGTAAAGCAGTGAATAAGACAATGGAGGCCAGTCACTGTCACTTAAAATACATGCACCTGGAAGATTCACCTGCAATGAATGTTTGGTGAACGTCAGATTCACTGCTTTCTATATATGCCCCATACCTTAATATTATGTACAAGCAGATTATAAGCACCCAGTATGAACCATGTCCCTCCAAAACCTTTTTTTGTGAACCTTGACATTTATGCAATACAATGTTCAACAAATACACAACACATTTTGAACAAACTAACCCTTTATAAGGCAATCAAGTGACAAAATTGAACATCTACATTGTATGCGATATGCACAACCTTTTTTCTTACGTGATTAAATGTCCATATTTGTACAAAAATGCAGATAGAGACTAATGAGTCATAAGTGGGTATACATTTAATCAAATAGTTTTAGAGATGAGTAACATGCAATAAATTGTGCTGTTTTTATCAACCTGTTCTGTTCGATGTACTTCTCCATACAATGTCAAAGGAGGGGATACTTTTATAATATATATTCATAGCTTATTAACGCCATCTAGTGGAAAATGTATTAACTGCACAAGGTATACTTAGACATTATTAGTTCTCTCTGGACTTTCCCATAATGTGCTCTGTTGCCATACCGCATACACACGGTCTTCTGTTTTTGGTTTCATCATTTGTCTGCCATATTTGATTAAATGTTGTGCAGTAGTATCCAATAAAGGGTTTTAATGCCTAAAGTGGACATAAAAGTGATGATGATTTGGTATAACAAACAATATCATCAACAATGAGAGCTGAGAACAAGTGTCAGATGCCTAAAAATAATTATAGTTAGTTATAAGAAGCAAAACCTGCATTAAAGCAGAACTTTACCCATAAAACTTGATAAAAAATAATGTTCTTTATCAAGGAACATACATTCCATATGATTACCTATGCTACCAAAATGAGTTTGTGCTTTAAATTGCTTCCAGCCATGCTCTGATTTCTTTTTGCTGGAGGCTACCATTTTTTTGAAGCCCAGAGCCCCTGAACAGCAGTAAATTAATCATAAAACAGAACTAAACCCATTGATTAAAAAAAAAGTAACATTCCTGAAATGTCGGGATTGCTATCACATTTGCTTGTGTCCTCTACCAAACTGTCAAACCATCAAATGGCTGGTGCCATAACTGATCACATGTGCAGCACCATGGCAGTTGCAGATCAAACAGAAGCAACTTCATTGGCTGTGAAGGATAGGAGGTTTTAATTCCACTTTAAGTCTGTTGGTTTGATTGGCATCTAAAAATTTGACAGTACCTAAAAATGGAGAGCAACTGAGCATGTGCAGAGCAGGGTGAGACAGTGTATCACTGAATTTTAAACTGTATGGGCACTTATTTTTAATGTTTTACATAGCTATACCTGCAAAAGGGGCCAGCCTGAAGTGATCTAGCAGGACTAAATTTTCTGACCTAAGTTGCACTTTAAAACTTGGTGATTTGAGCCTAACATTCTGCATGGATTCGAATTTGAATTTCAGTTGACCTGTAGTTTCTGCTTTTGAAGTGCAACGTAATGTGTGCGTATGAATGTTTTAATTGACTTTTTGCCATGATGGCAACAAAAAGGAAAGCTGTGAACTGGTGGATTACAGCAATACATGTACTTAGTACTGAGTGGTTAGACTTGGCTCTCTGTATTCATCTCAAGGCTTAAAGTATATGTGAACCCTCGCTTTGTGAAACAACACAGTTTAAAATAGGAATGAAAAGCCAAAAACATTTCTGTATACAGGTATATATAAAAAAAAAATACTGTTTGTTTAAAATAAATGATCATGTAACCTCTATTCTCTGCATATGGCTGAGAGTGGATAAATAGCAGACACTGATCTTCTCGGCAAAGGAAGGGGGGATGTGTCAGCAGAAGTCTGATCATTGGAGGACAGAAGCAGGTTATACTTCCAGCACAGCCAGAAAACTGACTTTGATGAGATGGAGATGCTGCCCATACCTAGCATGGTCAGTTTGAAATGGGAAAGCAAGGGGATTGACAGGATCACCAGGTATTTCACACAGAGGAAGTAATACAAAGAGAACAGGATACTTCTTAACACAAGTATATGGTACAACAGGCACATATCAGGAATAGGAAATTTGGGGGTAACTTATTTTTTCATTTTCTATTTTATCTGGAGTATACATTATCTAAAGGCAAAAAGAAATTCTGCAAAAAATGTACAAACTATTAATGTAGGATTTTCAGCAAGGTTCAAAATCTTGGATGTTTGAATGGGACCCCTTTTTTGTAGTAACAGAAGGGTCCCTGACTCCTGCAGGTTACACAGATTAGAGAACTGCAGTTGCAGATTTATTCTGCTGTTAAAAATATGGTTTGTGTACTTTAAAGTGTTTTTCTATATGCAAATCTTTTGTTAGTTTTGGATACAATATGGAAGGCTTAAATTCCCTGCTAGTTTTTATTTTTTTGGTACCTGAATACCATTGTGGAAATGTTCCTTCTTTGCTATAGAAATGCAACAGGAAATTGTACTGTCAGATTTTTACATGCAGCTCTTGCCAGTGGTTATAACTGCTAGCAATAATCACTGTGCTCTCTCAGCAAGGAGCCCCCCCCCCCCCTTGTTGGGAGAACACAATAACTCCACGAGAGGGATTCCCTCATCAACACTGACTGTGTTGATGGGGTAATTGAGTGATTTTCTTTCCTGTAATTTGTGTTTGTCCCCAGAACAGATGTCTCCAATGGAAAAGTTTTCCTTTCCTCTTCTTATGGAGAGAACTCTTTTAGATTTTCTCCACTTTCTATTAGATGACCATACTGTAGTCATTAAAAATACACAGTGGTGAATCTCCCAAGTAGGGACATAGACAGCTTGAAAAACATGACATTTGTCTAACCCTTTCCGATTAAATGAGGATTTTCCTTTTAGATATACTTAAATTATCTACACAATTTAACAGGATTTTGCCTTCATTTTCACCTTTTTTAGATTGTACATCTGTTTTAAACTGTTGAATTTTTTATTGTGGGTCCACAATAGCTTAGACTTATGCTGTTCTTGTAGAGAGCCTTCCATTTTGGGCCCAGGCCTGATGTGAAAGCAACTCAAGCTAAACTTCCAGTAAAAGACTCCTGTAATTAGAAAAAAATCCCAGAGGGCTCCCATGGTGAGAAATCCTCAACTGAAATCTGCAAAAACAAACTTTCTGAAATCTGTTGATCTCTGGCCCCCCACAGTGGTTCCTTCCATTGACCTCCATGGTACTACAGGACACAGCAGTGACAAAAAATGTAGCAGGTGGAACCACAGAATGTTACATTCTTCTTGGCTCCTCAAGCCATTTGCTATGGGGACACACCTGTGGGCTTGATCCCAAGCCAGGCTGTGTGTGTCTATTGACATGCACGACTCAGCCCCGCCTCCCCCCTCTCTGATTACAGGATTTGATTGACAGCAGCAGGAGCCAATGGCTCCCATTGCTGTTTCTGTGAGCAGAGAGAGAGGAGAGACACTGCAGACAGGCACAGTGCTGGATTGATGTAGGACTCCGGTATAAAGGGGGTGAAGGGGTTTACTTAAACCTCAATGTCTGTAGATACAAAATACATACTTGACAATTCCATAGACTCTTCAAGGGTTTCATTAGTACTGCATTGAAATGCAAAATTAAAGTAATGATCGTAATAATAATTACGCACTTCAGTGAGAAATTATTAAACTCTCTCCACAGGTCAAAACTGAGGAACTCGAGGATCTCAACAAGGACCTCAGACAGTGTAACCTTCAGCAATTCATTCAGCAGACAGGATCTATTGTCACCAATGGGCAGCCACGACCAAATGAAGAATTCCTAAATGAACAAAGCCTCTCACAATGGGAAGGACAGCATAGAAGTTTAGGTATGAATGCTGGTCTTGTTCTACAAAGCCTTTTCTTTATAAAGGTGTCTATAGATATATCGTCCATCGAATAACTTGGTGCAGAATTGTTCACTTTAAGGTCATTGCGAATGACAAGGGGGCACTCTTTGCACCTGGAGGAAATAAGTTGACCTCTATATGTAGAAAGGCTTCTTCAGAATGAGAGCTTTGCAATAGACTGTCAGCACAGGGTCCCTCGGGCATGTGCAGTGGGCACCCGGCTATGAAGCCGCAAGATGTCAAAGCCAGGTGCCCACACTTAGAATGCCGGTGCCAGGGAGTGAGAATGGCCAGTGAAAGGGGTTGTGGTGAGGACACTGCGGGACCGAGGGACAGGTAAGTGGCTGTTTTTTTTTTAAAGTCAGCAGCTACAGTTTTTGTAGCTGCTGACTTTTATTTTTTGTAGGTTTGACTGGAGCTCCGCTTTAAAGTGTCTGTAAATCCTTACATATACCCAGTGAAGTGACTGGCCTCAGGGGATTCAGAGATAAATCCTATTACACAAGTTGTACCTGTTTATCTGCAGTCTTCTCTTTTTTACATCCGTTCAAAGTTCAGAATTTATAAACCTTGCCTGAGAAAAAAATCATCAGAAAAAACGGGATGGAGAGCTGAAATTACACTCTGCAGAGCTCAGTAAGGAGAACTCTGAGAGCTGATTTGAGGGAAAAGACACATTCCCCTCCACACAGCTCACAGGAACAGAGCTTAGGATGGAGGTCCCTCCCCTGTCACCATTTTTTTTCTTGGTGTCAGGAAACCTTGTCAAAAGTAACTCATGTTAATAAAGGAAGTGTGGAATATTTCTAGCGGTGAGGAAACCGTGTTTAACAAATGGATCTCTAGAAAGGTAAGTATATTGCCTCTTTCTTTTCATCTATGCCTGTCTATACAAAGAGACCCTGTGCTGGCAGGGTCGCCTAACTGCCACCGGTTCTAGACATCTCTGTAGGTATACAAAACATAACTGGCTATTAATATTCAGAAAAAAACACTATAAGTGATTGATCTAGGTGTATTCAGTTGCCTTAAGGGAATGGGCAAAGTTTTTTTGGAGCAAAATAAACCATGGTTTATAAGAAATACACCCAACGTTGTGCTTCTATCCTTTGACAGCCCAGTCACATGTAAGGGATGGGGAAGAGACCTGTAAGTCAAAATGGAACAGAGGCAGAAAAGCTCAGAGCTTGGTATGGCTGCACTGTGGGGTATAGCTGTGTAAATCTTAGGCCTGGATGGACAAAAATACAAATCCTTTTGACAGCTAAATCAGCTCCCACATGTGTTCAGCTTTAACTCTTCTGGGAAAAGGAGGAAATAATCCAAATTTAAAGGTAAAATTCAGCTTTTGGGATAGTAAAACAGAGGAGCAAAACTGGAAGATGGGTTTTATCAGCTATTGAAGAGTCGCATTACTTGGATTTTGTTCCATAGTAGCCCATAGTTAGCCTCAAATATTTATCACAAGGCTGTTTAGTGCTCCATGGTGAAATTTCTTTGGTAACTAAAGTAGGACTGACAGAGGCTCACTTTAGAAAATTACTGTCAGACTGATCAGTCTTTTTGTAAATGCCAGAAATGCAAGTTGGAGCCCTTTAGAAGACTTTAAAGAGCATCTGTAATAAATGAAATACCTTTATTAGCAGACACCATCCTCTGACTGCCTACATCTACACTGGATTCATGGCAGTGCAGCTGAACCGCATGGGAGCAGGGTAGGAGCCTTATTCCTCTGTGAACTCTGGCCTAGCATATACTTGGAACATACTGTATGCTGCAATTATGAGGACAGGGGGATCCGATTGGTAAATGGGATGGCAGGGGGTGCTGGAAATGCAAGTGCAGGCTCCTTACCACATATACTCTGCTGTCCAGTTATTTTGGCCTTAGAGCACCTCTGCAAGTGACCGGAGAAAGGTCTCCATGAAGTTAATCTTATTAGACCGATACATTTTATTTAAAACAGAAAACAACATCGTGTAATCCTTTTAAATTAAACGTTATTATTGTTATTATCTCCTGGTTCATACAATTCAGTGGAGGAGGTTATTTAAGGATACTTTACACAACATAGCTAAACTACTGTATTGTATTACAGTGCTCTATTTAGTTGAGGTCTCATTTGTGTAAGAGCTAGTCCATGTCTAAAATGCACAGGTGTGAATGGGGCCAATAGACCTAAAATTACCTCAATCAGGGCTGGGACAAGGGTGGGCAGGAGGGACGGTTGCCCTGAGCACAGAAGTTTACTGTATGGATGGGGGCATCAGCTAATTTATTCTGATATAAGGCATTTTGACAAGCGGATGACCGCTGGGAGGAGCATTACCTAAGCTCTCGCATAATGAAGGGGGTGCAGTTTGACTTCTTTGCTCTGGGCGCTGGATGAGCATGTCCCAGCACTGACTTCAATGACTTTCAAGCACAAATGAAGCCAAACTTTCTTTTCATCCTTGTCTCTCCAATGGATAAAAATGAAAGCCAGGAAATCTCTTTTGTAGTAAAGTGAGGAATGATTAAAGACTGCCAAGTTTGTAATGATATCTGTGAGGTTTGAGGCTGTGTGGCCCCCAGGACAGGATGTGTAGAAAAATTTCCCAACAGACAGCAGTAAAACATTGCCTTTTGGTTCTAGCCTATCCTTGTCAACTGAAAACCAAAGCATATGTTGGTAGTTGTTGGGTTTAACGTATATGAATAGCCAAACCCCTAGAATTAAAGGTAAAATGTTTCTTTTAGTTTTGGATAGAGTGGAAAAGGATTAGAAGACCGGTCAGGAATTTTATTTATGTCTGTGTCCCTGTTAGGAAGATTCACTCTCTGATTGTCATGTTTACCATTATCATCAAAACTGAAAGAAAATCCCACATTTTGGGTTGTCCCCAGAACAGAAATAGAGGGGAAATCGTCCAATGGGGACACTAGTTCTTGTGAACAGTGATTCTCTCACTTCCTGCTTGGCAATGGAACAGGAAAGTGGGCAGCGCAGTGGATAAATGGTTAGCATTTCTGCCTGGCAGTACTAGGGTCATTGGTTCGAATCCCAACCATGGCACCACCTTCCTTGAGTTTGCATGGTCTCCCTGTGCTGCGTGGGTTTCCTCCGGGTACTCTGGTTTCCTCCCACACTCCAAAGACATGCTGGTAGGTTAATTAGCTCCTGTCGTAATTGGCCCAATATGTGTTTGTATGAATGTGAGTTAGGGACCTTAGATTGTACGCTCCTTGAGGGTTAGGGACTGATGTGAATGTACAATATATATATGTAATGTGCTGCGTAAATTGACGGTGCTATAAGTACCTGTAATAAATAAAATAAGCAACGGGAAATCCCCCCCCCCAATGGGACGTAGATGGTAAAGACTATCTGACAAGGGTTATAATCTTCAATTACTCTATCCAAAGTGAAACAAGTTTTGCCTTTTAGTTCTGTTTTAAGTTTTGGATAGAGTAGAAAAGGATTTAAGCCCCTGTTGATTTATATTTTGCTTTCTGTGTTCACTTAGGGAGATTTCCTATCATCACTTCCCTTCTTGGAGACAGTATAGGGAGTTGGAAGAAATCCTCATCTTAGACCGCTGTCACAAGAGAACTAGAAAATTCCTCCTCCCCTCTTGCTCTGGCGACATCTGTCAAATTTTGAATTTCCTTTCACTGTCTGTCCCAGTGACAATTGTCACCTCCAAGAGAGGATGAATCTGCCTAGCAGGGACATAGACAACAACAATAAAATCATGACTGTGGTTCTAACCCTTCCACAAATATCCAAAACTACAAATTAATGTTTTGGGCTAAATGTCTACTTTTTACGTTTTTCCAAGGTCTAAATTTTGTAAAGTGCTGCACAAACTGTTGGCGCTATATACATCCCGTATAACAATAATAAATTGTATCCCTAATATTAAATGACGTTTGTTCTACTAAGCTGTTGATTTATTGGGATACTTACTGTGCATCACAATAGACACTGGTGCACAATGTGCCGAATGCCTTGGCATAGAAATGATGTGATTCTGCTAGTTCAGATCAGAACCAAATGGAGATATCTACAAGCTGCCTGATTTTTTTTCCAGCTCACTGGATCTGAGCACACTGTATAGACCAATGTGATATTCTAATTATATGAATTTTTTCTCTTTGTTTTTTTTTTTAACAGGGCCCACTGATTCTTTGCCACGACATTTGACAGGTCATCCTCGGAATTTACAGAACTCCCTGCTCTCTAGTCGGAACCCTGAGGGTGTGTATGTGTGACTCCTCGCTCTGCGCACTCTGCTTCTTGCTCTCCTGGTGGTGGGTGCTTTATGCATGTATAATCAGATTGCTTTCTTGTGTACAGACTCATGATGAAACAAATGTATATTGCTGGGCAGATAAAACTGAAAATGCTGGGAACATAAAAATGATGAGCCTGGATCATATGTATCGTATAGGGGTTAAAAAAAAAGAACTCTACCTTGTTCACATATTTGATATTATATGACAAATGAGAAAATAGTTTTAAATAGAAAGATGACCTGTTTTGATACTATATGCCAGCATAGGCTTTTAGTATTTAGTGTGCTTCTGAAATGCCCACATATTGTTTGTCATTATAAGGGGGAGTGTAGACACACATCTTTTTACAGAGAACTCTCTCTGTGTATGTCCTTGATGGCAGTGCAGCCATTGCTTGTACTTTCCCATGTGTGCACCATCCTTGAGACATCATTGCCATATATAGGATATACCTGCAATTTATTTTACGATTTCACACTGCAAGTAATAGGTACTTCAAGCATAATGGTGGAAACCACTGTATTCATTTATATACAGCATCCCCCTTCTTAAAGCAGAGTTAAACCTGGTCATAAAAAAATGGCCCCCCCAGGAGCCTTATGCCATAATGTACTAGTATGCACTGCATGCTTGCCAAGCAATCCTCCAGCGCTTCGGTATTGACACAGGCACTTCCACCTTCTCCCCCGTCTTTTTTCTAGATTCATACTCTTTGGCTGTTTGATTGGCCAGGCCGCACCGACGCCACATACGCATGGAAGTGGCATTATCATGGCACAAAGCAGTGCCGGAAATGTTTGCTTAGCTTCGCATACACAGCTTACATTACACAGACAAGCAGGGAGAAGCAATTATGATAGAAGAAACCAATGGGGTCTCTTCTGAAATAAAAATTCTACCTGTTGGCATTCCACTTTAAGGTTAGGTTCACACCGATGCGGTGCAAATCTGATGTAATTTCACAGTACGATTACTGTTGTCAACGGTGCGATTCTAATCCGAATGAATGTGATATCTGAGGACAAAGTCACACTGAACCTGCACTAAACTCGCACAGGATCCTTTTTTTTTTTTTTTTTTTTTTTTTTTTTTTTAACTGGGACAGAATCGCACCACATAGATCATGTGAATGGCTGTCATAGCAAGCAATGTTTTTTCAGATGACTTGAATTTATGCCTTTTCGGATCGTATATATACTCTGCATAGAATTCACATCCGTGTGAACCAGGACTAAAGGATGATATGTAGGCTGTCATTGCTGATCTCTCCTTCTAATAGTGCCATTTGCCTGGCTTTCATGCTGATCTAATGGCTTTACCTTCTGATGCATTGACCTGTAATAAGTATGCAGGATAGGAGTTCTGACTGTCTTTTTAATCTCCATGATTGTTCTGGGCCAGAAACTCAAAGTATCATAGCCAGTGACAGCCAGATAGCTAGTATTTTTAGAAAGAGCTCCACTATCTGCATATATATTTCCTTATGTAAGGGTTTCATTTAATACTTCAGATATGTCAGTAGGTTTCAATCCCAGGCCCATTCTCACTACTGAAACATGAGGCATGCCAGACTAGTGCACAGGATAATGTGGGATTATCTTTAAATGACACTTAATTGGATCAGTGGCATGGATGCATGTTTTTCATCATGAGTCTGTTGCAGATGTACTGAATTCTTGATTTGATTTACTTGTACCTTGCATGAATTCAACACAAGCAAATCATTGTTTTACTGCGAGTGTGTGGAAGTGAAGGAAAATGATTTGTTTTGGATGTCTGGTAAAATTGACCTCCAGTCAAAGCTTAAAATCGGAACTCTGCTAAGCACTGTATCTATATAACATTGACCACATAAGCCCCTTACCATTGATACTTACCTTTACCAAGCTCCCCTACTGTTCCATTCTCTGGGGGGGCACTACACCTACACCTTGTGTTAGCTCCATGCTGGGCAGTGTTCAGGCCTGGTAGTTGGTCTCTTACAGTAAGTCCAAGCACTGCTTTCTGGGAGGAAGGGGAAGCGATCACATGGTTACTGGGTATTTTTCAGCATTTTTATAGTCAAATGCAGCAATGGGAGAGCAGAGTGAAAGTCAGTATCAGCAGGTAGAGGTTGCCCTATCAAGAGAACCTGTTATTTTATCTTGAATGGGCAAAGTGCTGGATTCTTGTGACTTGTTAGGTCTGCTTGTCTGCTGAGGCCATTAAAGATCCCACTCACCCTGTTGGAATTTTCATCTTGTATTGAATGCAACAAGAGCAGAAGTAACCAGAAAATATGGGCAGGAACACCCAAAACTGCTAGGTTCACAGGACCAGAGTCAAGAATTATGGCAGGGAGATTTCACTGTTGGATATAATCCAACCAAGAAACCAGGGGATTAGTTAGCCATCAGGCTCCTTCATGCTGCAGTTCTACTCATTTTGTACAGGTGCCCCTCCTTCCCATCTGAAAAATTTGGAGTTAAGGGGTGATTTCCTAGAACTAGTGCACTAAGAATCTGGTGCAGCTGTATGGTAGCCAATCAGCTTCTAACTTCAGTTTAAGCTTTGACAGTAAAACTGATTGGTTTCTACACAGAGCTGCACCAGTTTTATTAAATAACCCCCTATATGTCACAATTGACTTCTTAGCCTCAGATATGATCTCCTCACCATAACACTAGACAAGCTATCTTTGCTTTGTGTAAGCTGAACTGTCAGTATGGCTTGGTGGAGGGGCATAGATACAGAATTCATAAGGATGTTAGCTACTGTGCTCCAAATAGTCTGCTCTTCAATGCAGAAATATTGGCAACAGTCCATGTGTTCTAGGTACAGCCTCAAGTATTGTCTATGAATATATTAATTCCTAGAAAAGTCCCTGGATTTAAATCCGCCTATGTCTAGATGAGTTTTTTTTCTTTTTTTGCTTCAAGAGCTTCTAATAATTAAAATATGCTTTTTTTTTTTTTAAAATAGAATGTAGATCTTATTTAATCTCCTCTAGGATAGAGGGTGATTGGGTGTCCTGCTAGATCTAGACCACCATAGCCAGTTCACACCACATGCAGTCCAGTGCATTTTATTTCTGCATCAAAAACTCACTGATAGGTTACATGGTTTCCAATGGCATAGTTCACACCAGTGCAGTCAGTTCCAGTGTGTTCGTTTAAGAAAAAAAAGTAGAAGATGCTGCATTTTTTTCTGCACTGAACTGTACTGGAACGCAGTACAATGCATCAAAAATGCACCGGAAGCTCACATGTCCCTTTTTTAGGTTGAAGAAAAAGAGGGGGAAAAATTAACTGGATTGCGTCAAAAATCTGCATACAGGAACGCATCTGGACTGCTTTTCTATGGTTTGAACCAGCCCCTGTGAGGATACTTGTAAAAACTTCAGTGATTTATTACTCCAGCTTCTGTCAGCATTGTCAATTGGGGCTATTGCCATCAGTAGGTATTCTCCAACCCAAAGTTATCCAGAAGAGATTAGTGACAGTGGGGAGGTCACTGGAGGGGATGGAACTTCTATTGGGCTGCAGAGGTACATGTGGTCACACACTGGCTGCCTCTTACTTTCTTCTGCTAAAATGAAAAGATTAGATTTGGGTTCTATAAATTGACCAAGATAAGACCAGTATGTCACATGTAAAATGAGAGTCCTATCTCATTATAAGTCCTCATCATAAGCTGCAGCATTGCACAAGCCCCTGCGGCTTTAAATTCCTAAAGGGCTTGTCCCTTTCTAATTTATGCTGTTTACTCAGTAGCACAGCTGCTTGATACTGTGCAAGGTGTATCTGGGTGCCTGCAGTAGTGTATCATTTGGAAATCATCACAATTTTGCCTTTCAAAATCAACATATTTAAGTGTTTTTATGAGCTTTGCCACAGAACTGTTAGGGAGATTTAAAATTACATTAAAGGCAATTAAAAAAAAATACATAAAAATAACAATCATGTTATACTTGCCTGCTCTGTGCAGTGGTTTTGCACAGAGCAGCCTCGATACTCCTCTTCTTGGGTCCCCTGCCAGCACTCCTGGCTCCTCCGTCCTGCCAAGCAGTTTGCTATGGGGACACTCAAGCAGGCTCGTTCGCGAGCCGCTGCTCTGTGTGTATACACACACACACACACACTATCTTGGCCCTGCCCCCTCTCTCTCCTCATTGGCTCACTGAATATGATTGACAACAGGCAATGGTTCCTGCTGCTGTCTCAGCCAATGAGTAGGGAGAGTCCCCAGAGAGCCGAGGCTCTCGTGCACACTGATGGATCTCAGTGGGCTCAAATAGGTAATAGGGAGGCTGCTGGACACAGAAGGTTTTTTTTATCTTCATGCATAGAATGCATAAAGGTAAAAAACATTGAGCCTTTACAACCATTTTAATTCTACAAAGTGCTGCAAGCAGAAGAGTTTTACAATTCCTTTAAAAAACATGCACTAACATCCAAATTTTCGGGATAACCTTCCTGGGTCTATCCCCTTCTTCATAGTCCAGGCAGTACTAATACAGAGAGTTTTAGCAGAATGTTAAGATAAAGAGTCACAGAGGTGCGAGTGGTCACAAACCTGCTTTAGAAAACTGAGGTCCACATTTAGTCGGTTATCCTTCGTGTCAAATAGAATTATCATTCGTAGGTCAACTGTTTTCCTTTCCTGAGTAGTTTTGAAGTTCCGCTTTAAGGCTCTGTTCATACTAGTGCGATTTCAGATGCCGCTTGAGTAGCACAGAATCGCATGACAATGGAAATCACGTTGTTTTGAATGGTGCCTGTTCCCATCAATGCAACTCAGCAGGGCGAGATTTTGTAAAAAGTGCCTATACTACTTTGGTGCAATACCAGCATGATTTTGGCTACATAGAATATGCAAACCACTTCAAATTAGCATCCAAGTTTCACTACATAATCGCACTGAAAATTGTACCACTGCAAAGTGCATCGCAGAATTATGAGCCTAAGAACCAGAATATTCATA